AAAAAAAAAAAAAAAAAAAACGGAAGCCCCCCAAAAAACAAACAAAACAAGACATGGGCACAACACTGCAGAGAGCACCTCAGTGTGTGCTGTGCCTGAGGAGGTGAGCACAGGTGGGGAGGAGGCAACACCTCCCCCGGCTTGCAGAAGGGAGGACTCACGGTGGCTGCAGTACGGTACATTATGAGGCTCAGCTACATGGGTTCCCCAGTAACCCATCACCAGAAGAGCACTTTCCTATCTCTACCCTATTCTGCTGCCCATAGGGAATAAGCAATTCAACAGCCAATTCCATCCTCCCATACCCTCTTCAACACACACACACCCAAGTTTCAATTTCAAAGCTCTATACCTCAACATTGACACATAACCAACTGATGACTTGTCAGAAAAGGCCAATCAAAATGTAATGGAATGTTTCCCGTTCCAGTTCCCAGAAACACAATGTATCTGAAATTCTTGCACTGACAAGGACTGTCTCTGACCAGACTTTTGGTCAGAGTCCTTGTGTCCAACTCTGGTTTTCTTTATCATCCAGTCTCTACACCTCACAGTTAAACTATGTTTCCTGGATGTCTAAAAATCAACTAGCAAAGTTGTGTTTGTTCCATGATACCAGAAAACTTTATATTACTCAAAAAAAATTTTTTTTGAGACAGAGTTTCACTCTTGTTGCCCAGGCTTGAGTGCAATGGCATGATCTCTGCTCCCTAAAATCTCCACCTCCCAGGTTCAAGCGAGTCTCCTTGCCTCAGCCTCCCAAGTAGCTGGGATTATAGGCACCCGCCACCACACCCAACTAATTTTTTTTTTCTTTGAGACAGAGTCTTGCTCTGTCACCAGGCTGGAGTGCAGTGGCGCAATCTCGGCTCACTGTAACCTCTGCCTCCTGGGTTCAAGCGATTCTTCCGCCTCAGACTCCCGAGTAGCTGGGACCACAGGCGCGTTCTACCACGCCCAGCTGATTTTTTTGTACTTTTAGTACAGACGGGAATTCATCACGTTGGCCGGGCTGGTCTCAAACTCCTGACCTCGGGTATCCACCCACCTCGGCCTCCCAAAGTGCTGAGATCACTGAGCTTGGCCCTAAGTATTTTTTAAAAGCCTAAAACACCTTATAATTAGATTTCAGTGAATGTTTAAGAAAAAAGTAATGATATCTGTTCATATAAGGATTAAAGATGGCTTTACAGCAAAACAAACTGTCAAAGGAATGTGAAAATTGTAACACAGACAAATTAATTCCCAATTTAAGATACTTACACAGTAGGGATATATTCTCCAGGAAATGCATTGGTTGTGTAACTGATCAGTAGGCAAGTTTTACCTACAGCTCTAAAGAGAAAGAGAAAAAAGGTTGCTTAGTCAACATGAATGTAATCTTAGCTTTCATTATTCTGTTAAAATAATCTCTAGAGGAAAAAAAAAAAATCAAGGCATATACATCACATACTTAGCATTAAAGAAAATCAGTTTTCTGTAACTCTTTATCATTATAAACGCATTTGTATCCTGAAATTTAAAGTAAACAAACTAGAATTTCTCAGAAAGGTAGAAGCCATCACATTCTGTTTAGATACCTGATGTTAGCACTAATAGTCAAGAAACAGTTGTTACTATCTACAAGATTCAAGAGAAACAAGATTTTAAAACTTCACATCTCACTAGGTGCAGTGACTCACACCTGTAATCCCAACACTTTGGGAGGCTAAGGCAGGTGGATCACCTAAGGTCAGGAGTTGGAGACCAGCCTAACCAATATGGTGAAACCCTGTCTCTATTAAAAATATAAAAATTAGTCGGGCGTAGTAGCACGTGCCTGCAGTCCCAGTGAGAAAGGAGAATTGCTTGAACCCGGGTGGCGGAGGTTGCAGTGAGCTAAGACCGTGCTACTGCACTCAAGCCTGGGCAACAGAGCAAGACCCCATCTTAAAAATAAAAATTAAGGCCGGGCGTGGTGGCTCAAGCCTGTAATCCCGGCACTTTGGGAGGCCGAGGTGGGTGGATCACGAGGTCAAGAGATCGAGACCATCCTGGTCAACACGGTGAAACCCCATCTCTACTAAAAATACAAAAAATTAGCTGGGCATGGTGGCGCGTGCCTGTAATCCCAGCTACTCAGGAGGCTGAGGCAGGAGAATTGCCTGAACCCAGGAGGT